TCTCCACCCGCTCTGCTCCCAGGGTTACGGCCTTCCCAGGCGTCCGGTGCTGTCCAGTAGGGGCTTTCCGTTTAAATCCTCTGCTTAAAAGTGAGGCTGGATCCAAACCATTTGAAATAATATACTTGTCAATATCTCTGCTGGTAAATGCTGGTCATGTAATTGTATGTTTGTATCTGTATACCTCACACTGGGAATTTTTTTAACCTTTTTTTTTTATTCTTTTTTATTTTTGACTGTTAATCGTTTATTGTTGTTTGTGCAACCACCAAAATGGACCCACGCCCGGATCGGGCCCATTTCTAAGTTGTCGGCGTGGCGAAAGGGAAGGCCTCTGACATGTCTCGCCACGTCTCCGGGACACGACAGAGGAGCATAAAAAGGATCGAAAACGAATCTATCGACAACTAAATTCGAGTTTTGCTGCTGCTACTGTTTCGTAGCCACCTTCTGTAGAAAAGACGCCCAGCCCACGGGGTTCATCGGACCCTGAGTGGGGGCGGTCGGGACGCTGAGGCCTTTGGAAATCGGACGAACTCAAAGCGCTCCTGGCTGCAGGAGAAAGAGAAGAGCCCTCAGAAAAAGCGGGAAGTGAACTCCATCAAACTGGTACTCATTGCTGTGAACTTGGATGTTTGAATGTCACGTTGCTGAAAAAAAAAACCTGTTCCCTAAAGTGCAAGAGAGACGAAAAGCATTATGTGATTATTGCATTTATTTTATATTCAGTATTAATGTTGCTAAACTGTTACGGTTTTTTTTTCTTCCTCCAAATGTTAATTATATGCTAATTTATTGTGTTGTCTCACTTGTACATTTATTTTCACTGCATGCGAACTGAATTAGCATAGTGAAAAAAAAAAAAGATGCAGTGATACAGCCCTTCACCAACTTCTTTTTTTAAAGTAGATACAATAAAAAGAGCAGCTTTTAAAGAGACGCCGTGTTGGTGGATTCACTGGCTCCTGTCTGACGCCCCCATTCTCACAGGGTCCCAAAGAAAAAAGGCCACAGCGGGAAATGTCCGTTTGCCCGGCACAGCTTTGGACACCCCAGTCCGGGGAGTAGCTTTTGTCCTTCCCTTCCTAACTCTAACGCTTCCTCCTCATCTTTACGTGAGATTCCAGCATGGCATTTTTTCGCTTTTGCAATGATACCGGAGATGTCTCATTTCCAAGACTAAATGGCAACATGTCAGAGTGACTTCCAGTAAGGACAGACCAGATCAATCATGAGTGACCATCTGGCAAACAGACATTTTCACCATGTTTGGTTCAGAGTTGAATTAAAACTCTCAGAAAATCTGGGCCGTAAAAACATCACGATTCTGCCACGGGAATGTGGAATCTATTGTCCGTGAGGACAGCTTGTCAGAGCACCGTCAAAAGCAAGTTCGAGTTAAAAAATGAGAACGGCTCATTGGTATTCTCGGCCGAGCAGTTTCTGCCGTGTGGTTTCTGCCGTTCAACCAACGGGGGGCTCGGGAATGCTGATTCCCAGCCCAGCGCATTACTCGGACCCCCACAGGGCTCCTCACGGAGGAGGAGGAGGGGCTGAAGCCTGATGACCATCAGATGGCATTCATGCTTAAAACTGGTAGAGTTTAGGGAGACATCATGACGCAGTGTTGAATACGACAATGATGAACGGACAAACGCTTTTTCCATATCTCGGCAGCTGCTTTTGATTGAAGTGTCAAATTATAGGGTCGAGAAATCCCCAGTACAGCATGGCCAGTTCAGAAATATGCCCACTGACAAGATCTAAAGATCTCATGTTGGTCTGGAACCGTCCTGGTCTGGTTGGGATGCTCACTTTGAAACACTGGTGTTTGCTGCTTTCATTCAGGCCTGTTGACTTCATTAGATAACGGGACCACATGTGCCGCGCCTGTCTGACCGGACAAGTGTCGGAGTGATTTCCCAGTGCGTCTGGCCGCCCGGGCGCAGAGCCCGCGGGGCCGCTCCCGATAAGAGGTGTGGAGAGGATGGGGAACAGTTTTCTCCCCTTCTCTGAAATTCTGCACTTCAAATGGAAACGGGTGACAGCGAGGAGTTATCAGCAGCCGAATAGCTGCGACAAAGCAAAGCCGCGCAGATACCAGGGAGAGGAGATACCACGGAGGGGGAGATACCACGGGGGAGGAGATACCACGGGGGAGGAGATACGGCGCGATGCCGGGAGGGCAAACTGTCCCGGCCCCCTTCAGGGGGCTGAAATGTGTGGGAAGCCGTCCGCTCGTCCAGAGGTCCAGAGCCACACAGACCTTTGGTCTCCGCTTGGGTCCTGAGGACGGACCCACAGCTCTAGGGTTAGGGTTGGGGTGGGTTAGGGTTAGGGTGGGTTTGGGTTAGGGTGAGTTAAGGTTAGGGTGGCCCGTGGGCTCGTCCTCCCAGGTGTGAGGGTTTGGTTACGGTTGGTTAGGGTTAGGGTGGGTTAGGGTTGGGGTTGGGGTTAGAGTGGGTAAAGGTGAGGGTGGGTTAGTGTTAGGGTTGAGTTTGGGGTTAGGGTGGGTTAGAGTGGGTTAGGTTTAGGATGGGTTGGGGAGGTGTGAGGATTAGAGTTAGGGTTAGGGTGGGTTCGGGAGGTGTCCACCAGAGGAGGAGCAGCTGTGGTCAGAGCTGCTGGGTTAGGGTTAGGGTGGATTAGGTTGAGTTAGGGTCAGGGTTAGGATGGGTTAGGTTGGGTTAGGCTTAGGGTTGGTTAGGGAGATGTCTATCCAGAGGAGGACCAGCTGTGGTCAGAGCTGCTGGGTTAGGGTTAGGGTGGGTTAGGTTGGGTTGGGGTTATGCTGGGTTAAGGAGGTGTCTATCCAGAGGAGCAGCTGTGGTCAGAGGTGCTGGGCAGAGTCTGAAGCGCTCCGGACAGCGTTTGGATGCAGACGGCGTGCTGTAGGAGGCCCATGCACAGGCCTGGGGGGGGGGGGGGGGGGAGGGGGAGGGGGGGGGGGGGGCTGACAGGCAGGAATGCCGGCCCGGGATGGGGAGGTCAGGGCCGCGGCACCTGCTATCTGCTGGGCCCCGCCCCGCCCGCTTTCCCACAGACCAGAGCCTCTGGAGACGTGAGAAAAACGCCTCCGGGGCGCGTCCCGATCGCATTTCTCTCAGCCTGTTGACCCAAACTAAGAATGCGGGCTCACGGACGGCAGCGGGACTCATCACAGGACGCTTTGTGTGTTTTTAACCTCCTGAGACTCTGCGTCCTCATATGAGGACGCTGCATTTCTGCCTCTGACCTTTGACCTCTCGGCCTCATAGCAGACGCTATCAGACACCACTGTTCGACATCTAAAGTAAAATGGTTTTATACATTTTCCACCAATCACGTTCTTATTGTGTAAATAAAATATTGTAAAATAAATCACTTGGACCGTTTGAAAAAACATTTAATTAAATATTTAAACAAACATTTTAAATACAAAGGCGACCCCAAAAGAAAGGGCACCTGTCTGGGTGCAAAATGGCCGCCGCCGTGTGCATCTCCAGCCCGCGATGCGTTCGAGTCCTCTGGATTTCCGTGTGTTGTGCTTCAGCAGGTGTCCGGGTCACCTTTAAAGGACGCTGCTTTCCTAATATGACGTCCCCTGTCAGCAGAAGACGGCAGGTAAGTGGATTACGTGAACAGAGAATCAATAGCCAATCACTTAGGCCGGTGGAGTGAAGCCAAAAGCTTTTTAGCCTGAATTATTTCATGAGTCATCTCTTGCGTAAACTTTGAAACGGCCCTTTTTCTCTGTGTGTTGTCTTAAGGACATTATGAAACATCCCAATAATGAACTGTGCTGTGATTTATCGTCTTCTTTTCCATATTACAGTAAGTTACTTGGGGGGAGGGGTTGCATAATGTCCTCCATTTTGTCCTCAGCTCTGGAAAAGGGGAGTCTTTGTGCAGGTCATGGATGAGCTGAGGAAAAAGTGCGAGATGTATTATTTTAGTGGCCCGTCAGGGTAATTACGTGCCCAGTTGACGAGAAAAGAGAAGTCTGAAGGATTCGTCCTCCCTTCTGGTGTCTGCCAGCCGTACCAAACTGAATCGCTGCATTCTGCCCTGACGGTCAAACGGTGGCTGCAAGTCAAGATGATCCGCTCACAAGCTTTTTCATTGGTTTGCTCCGACTTTTCTGTTTGCTCCAGAGTTCAGAGAATATACCAGAATCTGTCAGATTCTTTGTTCTTGTCTTTAAAATACAGAAACAACATAAATCTATCTTCATACACACACACACATCTATCTATCTATCTATCTATCTATCTATCTATCTATCTATCTATCTTTTTTGTCAAATTTCATCTTAAATTTGATCAAAGCAGCATATCTAAAAAGAGTGAATAGAAATTTTAAAAAGTATCTATTTAGAAACTACGTTTAATTGGCAGCAGCTCTGTTCACGATTGGATTTAGAAGATCACCTTAAAGAGGCAGAGTCTCTCAGAAAGGAACAATGAGAGCATGCTCAGAATTTTACAAGAACTCTTTTTTTTTATTTTTAGAAATTGTGTAGTGATTTTAGACACAGAAACCGGCACCCCTAAAAGATGTAGAGGATCTGCAGGCATCCCTGTGACCTTCAGGCCCTCAAGCAGCTCCCCATAAAGCACCTGATTCTGTCCTGAAGTCTCAGGAGCACTCGGGTTAGAGTGTGATGTGAACACCATTCAGAAACACAGCTGTCGGGTGTTGCGTCCTTCAGACTAAACCGGAGAGAAGCCTATAGGCTTCAGAAATTTCCCTTTTCAGGGAAGGCTTTGCATATTTCAGCAGATCTGTGTTAAACCCCAAATACTGCGCATGTTCCAACAGCACCACAAGAGCTCCAGCAGCTGGGCTCCTCAGTTCCAGATGTTGACCGACAGGTGTTAAAAGAAGGAGGCAAATCATTTTCATGGAATGGTCAAATATCACACAATTGATACGTTTCTCTAGTAAATCAAACATGAATTGATTTAATAAGAAATCCACGAATTCAGTCATTTTCTGGAGGGGATTTTAGATTGTATATCACCCTTAATCTGAATGAGACACGGTGATGTAAACAGGACCGATCCCCTTTATCCATATTTTTTCTGTCAAAGCTACTGCCAATAAAAAGAATAATAATAAGAAATGATAGTAAACCAATGCCCATTTGGATGGACATGGATACATACCAGAGCTAATGAGGGCGTCAATAATTAACTCCTACTACACTGTAATGAACTACTCTGTAATATTTAAATGAAAATATGTTTGGTGAACGGTTCCCTGGAACAATTTCTGCGGCCCAGACGAGAAACTTAGCAATCAAATGTAACCTGTAACAATGTTTAAAAAAACTAAATACATCGACGGGCTGGTATTAGCATTAGGATTGAAGCCAAGCCGAACATTTGTGGGGTCACACTGAGGATCGGAGTTGTACCTTCATGCTGCATTTCCTAAATAACCTCCTTGGGTTATAATTTTAGCCAGACATTTGGGTGGAAATATTTCATGTTTCAAACCAAGGACCGTGAAATTCGTTGCCAAAAAGTCTGCCAGCGGGAGGCCCAAATATTTCCGAGGTTTGCTTTATTTTTAGTCCACCTTCGGTTCTAGTTTCAGGCCGCCGTTCGAAGCTGTTGTTTGAATCTTGTTTAGAGGGGGGGGGGGTGAGGTGTTGTTCCCGATGGCACCTCGCCGTCCAGGTGTGTCTGGACAAAACACAAAGCCCACTCTGTGCAACTTTCACAATCAGCGCATGCAAATCCGAGGCCGCCGTAACACAAGACGCACTATTTGAAAGAAATCTGGCGTCGGGAGGCCGAACGGGAGACTTGGCCCGTGCGAAAAAATAAATCTTATAAAGTGGCTGTGAAACACGAGCAACGACGTGAGGACATTTATCCAAGCAAAGCATATAAAAGGGGGAAGGAGTCCTGAAACAGCTTGAGGTAAAGGATAGTTTCACATTTTTGGTCTTCGTCAAGTACAGAATTATAAAAAAGTTATTAAAGACTGTATTTCCTCCTCATGTCTGTTCTGGGAAAAGAAAAGAGAGCACAGCGACTCCATTTAATCTAATCGTATGCAGAACCCTGCAAGTCCAAGTTCGAAGTACTTGTGTATCTCCCCAGTCTCTCAAAAGTCACCAATCTGTACTCGGCTGTTGGGGTTCGAGGATCAGATTCAGTTTTTTTTAAACTTCTAACTTAGACTGTGAAGAGGCGATGACTATAGTAGATTTGCTTGGTCCTTCTGCTTCAGAGATTTGGGAGCTTTTCATTTTAGCCGATGGTTCTTCTCCACTCTGACCGTCCATTAGACCGAGGCACCGTGCTCATTAGATCATTCACAACCGATCTCATGCCTCCCTGATGATGTTTCTTCACGGATGGTAAAACAATATTACTTGAATCGTTCACAGAAAATGAAGGGCCCCTGCATTAAATAAAAAAAAACACCAAAAAAAAGCATAGTTGAATTTCAAAGATCTTGTAAAGATTAGAAGGCTCTGTTTAGAGATCATCTGCGAGGGCAGTGGAAGATAATAGTTGGAGAATAGGACGATAATGCTATTACCGTTCCTTCTTACTCCTCACAATCACGTGACACGGAGCAAAGAGAGGTATTTCCTGCTCGGGCTGGGCACGGTGACACGGAGGAATGTTAAATATTCTCCTGTTGGTGCTGGAGACGAATTACACCGTCCTGTCCTTCGCTTTGGACTCCGCTCTCAACATAAATTACTGATTTATGTGGCAAGTAGCGTCCTTGTAAAAGGCAAATTTATCTGAGCAGTCAAAGCTTTTCTGCGCATCTTCAATAAAACGAATATTTGACTATTAAAGGGACTGTATTCTTTGAAGTGCAGAGTAAAGGACATGCCCATATGTGCATTAAAGCAGTTTCTGTGTGCTGTAAGTTTTCCACATGGTGGTCACAAAAAAATAAAATAATAAAATGATGAGGGATGAAACCCACAGTCCTCTTAAATATGTGTCTGATGTTGAACTGAAATAAAAGCGGACACTGATCCATGCAAAAATTCCCTTTGTTCTCAAGCAAACTATTTGTGTTGCTGATGTGCAGAACGAGACAAAAGGGGGAATTTACAGTCAACTTTCTGTAAATTTGGCAAGTTGATGCACATTAGTTTCATCCCCACTAAAGGTTGAAATACTTCCTAAAATTTGGTTCTCCCTAAAGCTGCGTTAAGAGGTATAACCTGTAGAAAAATCAAAAGGCACACGCGGTTAGTTCGATTGCCTTGTCACCTGTTTCAGATTTTAGGCCCTCGGGTTTGGACCGAGCCCACAATGTAACATTAACTCTCCTTCCTGTTCCATATGAAAATTTAAGCATAATCCCAGAAGTACAGTAAAAAAAATAGTCTGCTGGCCAAGTGCAGCTTCTGGTCACACACATGGCAGCGGCACATAATTTACCCCGAAACCACCGAAATGAGGTGAAGTCTTTGGTTTAAACAAGCCTCCTCCGGTGGTGAAACGAGCAGTTTTTAACTCTGGCACTTCTTTTCAGTTCCTCTTAATAACATTTTGTTGGCAAGTTTAAAGTTAAGATCGATGTTTTTTAAAGATGTCCATTTAAAATGGGAGGAAAAAAGGATTTGATGTGATTTTTATAATTCTCGCTAACCTCTCCAGTGTTAATGCTAGGCAAGCTAAGATAAACTAAGCTATGCTAAGCTAGATAGGCTAAACAGGCAAAAGCATCTTAATATTTCCTGTACAAACAATGTTAATAAGGAATGATTTTTTCCCCTTTCGTAGAAATAACAGAAATGAAAATGTTCTAATTTCTCAAACGATAGATATCTTCAGTGTGATGCTAATGCTACAAGATGTTAGCCTAGCATCTAAATATGATTATTGATACAATATTGATAGGGTTTATGACTGCTTGTCCCCTCTGCAACTGTTATTTGACTGATTGTGATTCTTTATGTTGACATACAGACACAACAAATTAGTCTATAGTTCAGAAGGTTTGGGTGTCCACAGGTGTTTTCCTTTTAATGCAGAGTTTCTATTTTAAAACTTAAAAATAATTCTCAACTTACACTCATATATATGATATAGTTGTAAACACAAAGTCTTAGTTGTTTATTTAGGAAGGTACAGATATGGATATAATTCAGTTATAGAGTTACAGCAATTTTTTAAATAATTTCTTTCAGGATAATGTTCACTTTGAGTCTTTGAATGAGAAATATATAAAAAAGGGGGTAATGAATGAGGGAAACAGCTGTTGGAAGAAGGGAATTTATGATCAGAAATGTTCATAAACGTTTTATTAGATTTTTTTGTGGAAAGGTTTACAACGAATTTAGACATGACATGAACAAACAAAAACTTAAAATAAAAAGGGGACAACGTTAACAACAATCTTAACTTTTACGACAGCTGATGAGTAACTGAGGGGTTATCCCTCACAGAAGATCAGGTCAGCATCCTCAATCCAGATGTTCCAGCCAGGGAGAGCCTTTAGAACGATGGGAACGTGGACGGCAAGATGCGGAGGGACCTCTTTTTAGGTCACTTGGCTGGGGCAGGGCATGACCTTTGACCCCCGGGCCTTCACCTTTTGGCCTTCTTCTCCTTCATGAGCTTCTTGCTCTCCTCTCTCCTCCTCTTGTTGACGGGGTTGCGCGGGTCGTAGATCTCAAACGTGTCCTCGTCCTGCATGTTGGCATCTTTGACTTTTCTGGTTTGCTCATCAAACTGCAGGACATGGGCCATCCTAAATCAGATGGAGAGAGGTGGAGAGAGTTCAAAGAACGGCAGCAGAGGATCCCCTAAATCAGTCCTCAGTAGAATCTGTACCTAGAGGCCAGTCTCATTTCCCTTTGAAGCTGTTGGATACCAAGTCAGAAAATAGGAAAAATATCTAAATATGATTTTTTCCCCCCTGTTGTTTATAATATTTCATCTAAAAGTGGATCAACGACAAATGTTTGACTCCGGTCCCGTGATGAAAATCACTAAGAAATTAGTTTTAAATTACATCTGAGAAACTTGAGACAGTCTTAATATGGCGAGCACAAACACCCAAAGAGCAGCCCGACAAAGTCAAGAAAAACGCTTCACAAGAGTCATAAAAAACAATCAACAAATGGAAAAAGGGTAATTACAGGGGTCCGCCAAAGATCAGATAACAGCATGAAAGGCTCCAAAGGGTTTGAGAGGCTCCAGCTGGAGGGCAGATTGTACTTTATCCCATTTAAAAGGTGAACAGTACCTGAGGCCATTTTTCCGGAGGGTTAACGGGGAGACAAAGGATATCTGAGTTTAAGCAGATAATGGATTGTTTACTGTTTTAACAAGACACGGGGCATCCATTGACTCCCTTTCAGACACTGTAACAGACCGTTATCAGTCACTTAGAGCCACCCCACTCAGACACAGCTCACTTTCAAGTTAATTTGGACTGTTCAATTGCCAGGAACACATGACAAAAGTGATGTATTGAAATGTGCAAATACACATTTAAATACAGTATAACAGGTAAAAAGAGAATGGGCTCTGGGGAGGATTCCTCCCTTCATCAGAACTGCTGCCAACAATTTTCAGTCCACTTCTGGTGTCCTTCGGTGCCATCATCAGAAATGAAAGCCGACACAGATTGGTAAATCGATTGATTGCAGCCGGTTCTAGAATCCGACCCAAAAGACAGCTGGGTTTCCACTAGGCTTTAACATGCTGAACATGAGGGGTGGAGAGTGGAGGGTGGTGCATATGCAACCTACCAATATACACCAACCAGAGGAGGTTTGGTGGAGTTTTACCCGTCTTAAAACCATCTCCGAGAGCCCAATGTGCTATCAGAGTGTCTCCAAGGCGCTGCTTAGGCCGCCATGATGTCATGATAAAGATCTTAACTCTCAGATGGAAAGAGAATGGAAATGTCTGACAAGTTGTGACATGGTGGTGAGTATTCTACTGGAGTATTAGATCCCGCTGACGATGGGTTGAGAACAAATCTGGCCAAAACCCCACTGACATGAACCAACAACCACAGCACGCTCAGTCGCTTTTCCTGGAGTTAAACCTCGTTTTTCTTCTTCTGCTGTTTGTTCAGAGGCATGTGTGATGGCGTCTCCTCCTGGTACTTTAGACTATAGAGTGGAGTCTGGTGTTGGGTCCGGGCCAGCCTCTGGCCTCTCTGGATGCTCTGCATTTGGTCAGGACGCCTCGCGTCTCTCTGCCCGGGTCTCCTGTCGTGTTAATGGCTTCGTGCTTGGGTTTGGCAGCCGCGCCGCCTCTGGTGCGTCCCCTGCTGATTCAGGATTTTTCCCTTTTCTGCTTGTCCATCAAACACACCCCCCCCGACCCCCCTGCGCTGTGTTCAGGTTGCTGTGCTGGATAGTCCAACTCCTCGGAAAGCCCCTTCTCCCCTGTGCCTGTCTGCTGGGGGGCATTCGCGCAAACATCACGATGTGGTCGCGATGCCAGCTGTGGGGGGGGGGGTGAGGGCCCAGCCGGGGTTCCGGCTTCTCTCTCAAGATCTGTTTTATTGCTAAACCTCTTCTGTTGACCTCATGGTCGAGTTCAGTCCGGTGAAGCCGGCTGGACGGCACTCGGCTCCGAGCAACAAGGGGCAAGCACTGGAGGTGGCCGGCCTTTCGAAAATCTGTACAAGCCGGGGGGGCGAAGCCGAGAGAGTCGAAGCTTTTGGGGAAAACTGTTTAAAACGGCTAAAGTGGGGGGAGGCAACAAAAGCACAGACGTTTTTTTTTGCTTCTGTGTTGCTCTGAGAAAAGAAGCCTGAGGTTTGATAATGCGGCTCTAAGGGGAGCTTAGATATTGAAATCCAAAAGAAAAATCCTGATGGAGGACGAGGTAATGCCACCCAGAGTAACTGTGTAATAAGATGGTAACATCTGAATTGCGGCCAAAAATAAGTTGGATTAAATCTGAATGATTTTAAAAGTGGATTAAAGGTCACAGGACAGCCTTTGATTTCAGAAAACAGGGAAAACGACAGGTCTGAATACCCCAGCAGAGTCGGTGAGGGGGGCTATTTCTTTTAAGGCTACATCCAGAACATGGCCGCCATCTTGAATGCCACCATATTGGATCGAGGGCCAGTTTTTTTCCCCGTGAGAAGGTGGTCGTGTGGCGTATCAGAAATCTATCGATATCGCTTCTGGTTCGAAACGTTATCAGCCCAGAGGGTTGCGGACACATCTGGACGGCTGCCTGGGATGCGCAGCTGTTGGAGGCGTTCAGCACCAGGGACAGCAAACGGAGCACGTCAAACAGCTGCGCATCGCGGGCAGCCGTCCAGGTGTTGCAACATCTCTGGCCTTCGTTGATATGCTGCGTGAGCGCCTTCCCTTAGGAAAGACTGACCCCTTTTTGTGACATAAAACAGAGTCCCTGGGACTTTTGACCCTTTCCGTAGAGACTCTGAACAGTCCGTCAGAAAACTAAACCCTGAAGCAGAGACTGCAAAAAGAGAAGCAAAAAAGACCTCCAAAAAAGGATGGACAAAACTAAAAACAAAGCTGTTAAAGACAGTAAAAAAAAATAAGGCTTTGGGTGTATTTTAAAGCTTCCAATAAGCAGGACGCAGCTTTTGGAGCCAACTTCAGATCAGGATACATGAATAAATGGAGCTAATTGGCTGAATGATTTCTCCAAGATGACAAGTGCAAGGCAACTGCCCGTTCTGCGTTTTGCTCGTGTTAATGTCTATAAACCTTAACTTAGCATCCATAAACCTTCTCTTTAATGTGACGGTCAACAGGGCTTCCACAGCTTCTCCATCCCACTGGGCTCTGTGTGAGCGGGCCGCTGTGGATAATGTGACCAGCAGTGTTTGGGGCTTATCGAAGCTTTCCTGAAACGTGAATGCACAGCAGGGCAAAACTTCCCTCAGCTTCTTCTCCCTCTACTCAAACCCAAGCGGGAACGAGGAGGCCCGATAGGCACAGTGAGAGCTGTGAGTGTGGAGTTTGTGAGGAAGCCGGAGCGGAGGGGCTGAGGACGGGGGGGGGGCGGGGGGGGGGGGGGTTGGTGTGTAGACACACATACAGATGGAATAGTTTACCTCCTCTGGCCCAGACTTGACTTCTAATGTCTGACCTATCGTAACCCACATTCTGTTCGCGGTGCCTCTCCAGTGGCACAGACTACCCCCCCCCCCCACCCTCACCTTACCTGGCACACAGAGGTGTCTGCAGCCCGGGAGAGGCTCCGAACGCCAGCTGAGGGTTCTCGCAAACGCCCCCCCCCCGCACCCCCGACACACACACACACACACACACACACACTCAGACTACACTTCAAGAGCGCTTTTCAAGACTAATAGCAACTACAGGCTTTGTTATCATAAATCCCTCTCACACATGGTATTCATTTCAAAGCCTCGCTCTGTGTAGCGGGGCTTTGAGATCTTTGGTGAAAAACAGAATATGAGAGGAAAACACAGCGTCAGGCCTGATTTCCTGATGGCCGATCTGGTGGCTTCGGGTTCAAATCCAAACGCAACACCCACCCACACACACACACACACATATACACACACACACACACACACACACACACATTCGCGAAACCTGAACTTTTGAGGCACGTTTTTCACGACCTGCAGCTTTGTGTCTGACGGAGGGCAGGTTCATCCTCCCCGTGCAGACGGGGGGGGGGTTCAGCCCTTCTCGTTCTAAATATGGGACAACTAAAACACTTCTGAGGCTTTAAAAACAGGGCCTTGGACATCATGCTGTAAGATTTAAAAAACACTGTGTGCAAACATTTGAATTTCATTGAAATATCTTCAAAAGGCCGTAAGTTTAGCATATAATTTATATGCCACTGATACCATATGAATTATTGTTGCTAGGCAATAATGCTCACCAAACCTCACTAAATCCACCATCAAAGGCCGTGAGGAAGGAAAATGAAAACACCAAAAACAAAACAAAAGGGGATCAAATATCAAGCTCCATCTGACATGTGAAGAAAGTTAAACTGTGGAGCTCATTCGTCTGACGGTCAGTCAGTCGGTGTACTGACCATCCTTTGTCGTCGTCCTCAGCCAGCTCCTCCGCGTCCTCCTCTGGACCCTCGCTGATGGCCGACGTCAGCTTGGACTTGAAGGTGTTCAGCAGGGCCAGCGTCTGGACATGATCAAAACATTTCTCAAACATTTCAGCCCCTTTATACCAGAAATCCAAACTCCAGTTCACATCCTGTGAGCCTACCTGCTCCTCTCTGCTCGAGCCTTTTTTCTGCTTGCGCGTCTTGAGCCCTTCGTACTTCTTTTTTCCCTCCAGGTACTCAGCAACCGCCTCGCTGGCTGGCTCTTTCACTTCTTTGGAAAGACAAGATGGACATCACCGATGGTTACGACTAATACAGATATCAGGCTGCAACACAAAACACCCAGATGTCCTCCAGCCCATCATTCCTACGCAGCGTTTTCTGTGGGCTGTTGACCCAAATGGCTTTAAACACCAACCTTTCAGCAGTTCGTGTTACCTTCGTTAGAAAACTAACCATTCCTGTGTTACCTGAAGGCAACGTGGCAGAGGGACGCCCTTCCCCAAGCTCTGAGTTATGGTTCAACACCCCATTCACTCAATGTGCTGTGCCTCACAAAAGAGAAAAAACTGAAAGGAAAAGGAATCTGAATGTGTAAAAAAAAAGATGAAAAAAAACAAAACAATCGTGCATAAAAATAATTGTAATTTTTTTTACTGTTTATGAACAAATCTGAATCTTGACTAAAAAATGATGGAAGATTATAACGCCATCTAAAAAAAAATTAAATAAATGTAAAATATGCTTCAAGCAGATTTAACAGAGCTTTCGATGCTGATTTGACCTCATGTTTGACTCTGTGAGTGTGTGTGTGTGTGTGTGTGCGCAGACGGGAGTTAAATCGCAGGGCCATGTTGACCGTGGTCCTGAGAGAAAAAAATTCCAACAGACCGTCCCCTTTTGAAGGGGCTGTGAAGCTCCTTTCAGGCTGACCGGGGGCAGGGGGGGGGGGGGGGGGGTGTCTGTGAGGTCACGGGGCGGCAGACGGTGAGCACCGTCTGGACGAGCGCTTTCCTTCCACAACAAACTGTGATGTCACACGCACAAGCGCCGGGCTCCGGGCTGATCTCTGCTGCTCTGGGCTGGACGCTCCGACACATTCAGAGGCAACAAAATAAATGATCTAACAGAGCAAACACCCCGCCGCCGCTGCTCTCCCTTCTCGTGTGAGCGGCGGCGCTGGGAGCGGGTTTATTTATCGAAGCTCAACCAGAGGAGAAAACCAGGAGTAAGTCCTTCTGTTTACATGAAAAAGAATTAACAACAATCATCATTGTTATCCTCGGAGCGGTTTGAGTCCCTGTAATAATGCTGCCATAACAGAGGGATGATGCACTACCTAAAACAGCACTTAGTAACCCGGCGTTTTGGCACTGGAACCACAATATAAAAGGATTTAAAAGCCTTAATTCCTCACGGCACAGATTCAACAAGGTGCTGGAAGCATTTCTGTGAGGATTCGGTCCAGGAACGTGTGGAAAATACAGCCTCAGAAAATAAAAGCCTCTCCTGAGACCTGTAGGGGTCCAAGGACCCGTCTCTGGGGTGGGTCCCTCAAAGCTCCTGCGGCTGTCCGATCAGAACCGGGGAACACTGGTGCACCTTTCAGGGGCTCTAATGGAACAAAAGTGGGCCTTGGGTTCCACATTAGGACATAGGATTCAGATCTCAAGAGCTTCAGCGTTCCTTTGGTTACATGGAGGTATGAACAGGGGGGGGCTGAGGAGAACCACGTCCCGGTGGTGGGACAAATGGCTCCTTAATGGGACCAAAAGCTCTTCTTTCTTAAACCCTAAAGACGTTTCACACAAAGCAGGACGGTGCAAAGCTGTGTGTAGGAAAAGATTCTGTCCACACTAACTAATAAAAAAAAGCCAGTTTGCATAGAAAATTCCTTCTTTTTAGCTATTACTACATCATGTCAGGAGAGAGAGACTTTTGCTCATGTACAGACACAGGCTAATAAATAGTGAGCTTAAACATGCACGGACACATAAATCGTGTGGACTGAGGGAGGTGTGCTCCTGCATCCACACGGCTGTCTTCTGTAAATGTTATGTGAGCGAGTCCAGTTGAGCTAAGCGTGCGGTTTTAACTTAAAGATTTGTTATTTTGCAGACCCCAAACGCCTGATTCAGATCGACCTTTTCAAAAGATTGAAGCTTGTTGAAGTTAGTTTCCCACAGGACTGCTGATGTTGCCTTGATTTGAATCTGGTGGGTTGAGGGGAGCAGGAAACATCCCAAACCTGCGGGGCAGCAGCTCTCGGGGCTCGGAGTTTGTCATTTTCCAAAGCAAATTGTTCCGAATGTGCTGTTCTCTGTGTGTAATCGTCAGATTCGGACCCACACAAAGGTGTTTAGCTGCTGGGAGAGCTATTCCCGCTCCGAGAGGCTGCGGTTTCTATGCGAGCGCGGCTTTGACTGCGGCGCGGCTCCTCCGGGGGTCGGGGGGACAAACCGAAACAAACCCTCACCCCCGCGTTCGTCTGTGGCTGAGCAGAGTTTTCAAATTTACAGCATTTGAGCAGACATCCGTCTCCCTGCAGTGGTCATTGGCTCATGACATCTGCGAATTCCACTGAATGGAATTAACTTTTTCTTCTAAGAAACCCAATAAGCCACTCTTAAAAGAAGCTCCGGCCTCTGGCTGAGCTGCCTTCCAGAGGGGAACACAACAAAGGACTTCGGAGACTAAATACCTACTAAGATGTTTTAGAGCTGATGGATTTCCCCTCCTTTATGATCACAGAAACAGATAAATCCAAGAGAGCAAATTATTAAGTGGACGAGAAAGGAAATGATTTAAAATCAAAGCGATAATGTCATGATTATATTTAGCCATGTTTAACTCGAATAAATAAGCTGATACTTAAGAGTGGGCTCAGTGTCTGAGTTTAAGTGTTGTTGGAGACAAAAACCCATGTTTGAGCAACCAAAAGCTCACGGTCCCCTATAAATTTTGGCTGGTGGTAATCCCACAGTCAGGCTGGCCCAAGAAGAACCCCCAGCAAGCTATTTTGTGTTGTTGCACAACAAGACGCGCACACACACACACACACACACACAACCTGAGGCTAACCTCTGTGCCTAAGTGGTTTCTGTAATTCTCAAAAATGTGTTCGGCATCAGCAGCATGACAGACTGCCGTGTGGTGAGGACCCCGAGGAGATCTGGGGTCAGATTCTTTTTTTTTTTACAGGATCCCGCCGGCCAGAGCTGCAAACTAACAAACACACATTTTGGATGTGCAACTGTGGCGGCGGCTCAACAATGTCTACCCGTGCAATTTTCAGAAAAGCTTTAACGCAAAAATGCGGACCCCTTGGGGGGGAAAAAAATAAACTTCTGCAACTAATTGACTAAATCAGAGGGTTGTCTGTCTCGGTGCACATTAGCCGAGAATGTAGCCCGGACCACCCTCTAAGAGGCTTTGTTCACACTTACAGACGGAGAAGTGAACGAATACTACTTGAATCGCCATTACAAAAGCACGCTTGTATAGTCTGTCACAAAAAACGAGGAGGAATAAAAGCTATATGCATACCCTCTTTGACTTCGTTCGTGGGAGGTTTCAAACTTTCTTCTCTCCGCTGCTTTATGGCCTGCAGTTCCTTCTTCAGTTGGCGCGCTTCCTTCCGTAATTCATCACTGTGAGCAGAGGAACATGGCTTAATAGCATTAAATCAACACATAAAACTATTTCAAAAACAATTTTAATGCGTCTGCAACTGACTTAGAGAGAGATCCTCAGACAAGAGGGAATTCATAACTGGGAAAGAACAAACCGTCGGTATTCTGGATGTTGCTAATCCTCACCAACACTAAATATTCAAATCCTTCAAGTGTTATGTTCATGGCTAATGATGTGGGCTTATAAAACAAAAATAAAACACCCTCTGCGTGAGTAAGGATGAAGACTGTAATTAAAAACTTAAAGCTATTCCAGCCAATTTAATGGAGGGGCAGTAAAATAATGGTTCTCCCCTTCAGGCGTCTGAAAATCCCAAGAAAGGCTGCTGGGGCCCAAATAAGAAACATATAAATGAGTTCTTGTTTTGAGATGAGCCCTTTTCAGAACAACATACAATGGTAATGGCTGCATACACAACAGGGGCCAGCTTGTCGGCATTTTAATACGCCAACCCGGACAGTTTTTACACACAAAAGTCTAAATCTTAACAAAAAGATGAACAAATCGAAAGTTCAAGACCACGAGGTCCCAATTCAGACCAACAAATTGTAAGCGATGTCTTCTGTCAAACATTTTGAGACCAACTGATCTCAAATAATGACAGACAGTCCACAAAAAACAGGAACATGTTAAGTCAAAGTAAGAAAAAAGAGAACTCCAACTATTCCCAAGTCCCCAAGTAAAGTCATCTATCCCCAAGACAAAACACTTACAGATAAACCCAAGTAAACAAACAAACAAACAAAGTAAAAGTTAAAGGCTTTTTGGCCAAGTTTTGGCCAAAAAGTCCTGATGAAGTCAAGATAAATAAGTTGAATTCGGAAAAAATAATGATGTGCTTTGCAGAGGCTTTTATCCAAAGCAACTTACAACACATTTGGACAACTAGGGGGTTCAAAGTCTTGCTAGAGGACGCCCCCCCTACAAAAAACCTCCCATTCAATGAAAAATAAAGATGGACCAGTGACAAAACAATCAAGAATCCTGCTAAGAGCAGCAGGTCCTGACAGGCAGAATTCAAAGTTAGTAGAGGAGGCCAATCTTCTTCCAGGTTCAGCCTAAATCCAGAGATAAGGCCAAAAGGCCAAAAGTCAGGACCAGTAGGCCTGAAAAGAGGGGAGAATCAGGTCTCAGGTCAAGTGAGGACCAACAGCTCTAAACAAAGATCCACAGATCAAAATGAAAAACACTCCCCAAGTGCCCTTTAGGTTGAAATCCAATACCTTATTTTAACCCTTTGATTTCATACTAATCAGATTTGATGGGTCGTTTTCTGACCCAGCGTATCATCACCTGTTGTATTTCCCCATTTTTTTGTAGAAAATGTAGAAAATACTAATTAAATTCGATTTAAAAAGACGAGTATATGACATTTTTGTTTTGTTTTTTTGTACACTCTGTTAAAAAGTCGAACAAAAACTTCATATGTAATAGTTCTGATTTTGTCTGATTTTGTCAGACTTTCTGGAGTTAAGCTGCAGAAACACTAATAAAAGATTCAAGTCAGACTTCTTATTTGAGTCCCAGTAATGGGATGCATCTGCCTCTGAAACACGCGTTTCACCTGATGACGAAAAAGAGCCGCATGCAGCTCACAACAGAAATATTCTAGAATACAATGTTGTCAGTCGCTGCGGTAATAAAAATAAACTTTACATTTCCTTTGCTAAAGTGGCACTATATTAGGCTTTACGGGGGCTGCTTGTGGTCAGCCTCACTCGTAAAGGCCTGAACTGGATGACACGGGCCGGCCGAGGCCCATCCCGCCCGGGCCGGACGGGGCCATCAATGCTGATTATTGTTCCCCTTTCATGTGACTCAGACGGACGCCGGTCGCAGAGCAGAAATGTTATGCTAAGAAGTAATAATGTTTTCGCACGGCCCTGGCCGACGTGTTTTTCGTCCCGTCCGCTCGCCCGGCCACAAAAGCACAGGTAAGCTGCTGGGCCTGGGCCCCCGGCCCAGAAACGCGTGAGCCATCTCCAGACCAAACAATGGCTGCTTTTGTTTCCTCCTACATCTGCTTCTCCGGCCCGACGCTCTTTTTTTATTCCTCTCGGCCCCTTTCATCTCGGGGCCTGGACAGAGCGGCTGTTTGTGGCTCGGGTTACGTTTGTTTGATTGGCTGACGTTGTCTGCGGGAGAAGCGGCGAGGCGGCTATGGGGGGGGGGTTTAAGGGCCCACGGCAGCCCTTGTTAGCTTGGGGAGTTCCCCTGAGGACACGCATGAGGAACCAGTCAGACGCTGGCTTGTTGGTCCCGACAAAAACAGAACAAAACAAAAAAAACACAATGCAGCTGAATCCAGATAACGGGAGCAGAACAGGCTGGCAGAGTTGGTCTGTGTCTGAGTGCTCTGGTTTGTCTGGAAGACATCACAACTCACAACAACTAACCTACCACGGCTCATCAGCAGGGACGGAGTTTACATTTTCTTACTTTAATAATCCATTTCTGATAAAAAATGCACTTAACTGCAGTGTGCTCGGAAAAAAATAAGAAGAATTCAAGTTCAAATTCAGCACTTTTTCAAGCAGAGCTTGTTTTTCTTTGCTTTTTCAGACAATAAAAAGGAAAAAGACAAACCAAGCAGCAACTATTAAAGAGCTTGGACATTATTAGACTAAGGAAAAGTGTCCGCAGAAGCGTTTCAAACAATGTGGAAATGATCACTAATCAATAAAAAACTGTAACTGGAATTCAAGCAAACTGGGTAAATGTTAATACAGGATCGATTTCACCGCTTTGGCCGTCTTCTATGGCCCAAATCTCTTTTAAAGAGGAGGAACTGATTTGCGGTCAGGTGGATGAGAACCGTGCCAGCAGGTTTTAGAGCAACATGAACCCAAAAGCTTCCCTTTTCAGGGAAGGCCTTGCATAATTCAGCAACACGGTGTTCCAACAGCATAGCAGAGCCCAGATGTTACACAGAGGCAAAAACGGACCTCTGTACCGACCGTTTAGAGACCTGTTTCTGCCACAAAAAACAAACAAAAAAGATGAACATGTTATCAGTGAAATGTCCGACATTTATGACTTGGTTTAAAAATCATCCACCACAACTGAAATCAGAGGTGGAGTTCAAATCTTATCAATTAGCACAAAAGAACACAATATCCAACATGTTACTGTCCTCCACTACAAAGAATTCTTGGCTTTTCACTATTAGGTCATGTTTCTGCCTTATTTGATCTCTGTTTGTTTGTGGAATGCTATCTGTCATGCACTTGGGTTTTTCCCTCAGCTCTTTTCTTACGGCTTTATGGTTTCTTTTCATATCTTTAATGCCATCGACCTGCCAGGGCCTGAGGATGAGAATGAGACTGCCTGGCCAGATCAGGCGGCGCTCATTTTAATCACTGCTCATTGTCCACTTTTCTGAAAATAAATAAACACGAACCAGTCTGAGAGTCAGGGAAGCGGCACAGGAAGAGTGGGCACCACACAGTTGGGCTACAGAAGGAAAAGCTTCCAAATAAAAAAATTTCAAACATCAAAACATTGGCTCTCGGTTTTACCACAAATGGATGTGACCACCGATTCATGCAGACCGTCCTGTTTGGAGTGAAGGTTTGAACAGCGAAATCATACATTACAGCGACATTTATGCAGAAAAACCAGCCCTGCTGGACCCCAACCGGTGGCTGCTCCATTCGCCCCCTTTTTCTGCTTCTCTGTTGTCCAAAATGGCTCAAATTAGTAAGAAAATTCAAGTACCTGATGCTATTTGTAAGAATACAAAGATATTTTGCCAAAATGCAACAATCAAAGGGCAAAAAGAGACCAAAGAAAGCTTAAGTTGACCCTTCCTTTGCAGAAACGTGTGAAACAGAGGTGCATAGAGAGTGATGCAACAAACATGGCTCCAGGCGTTCCCGGGACGGAGACGACAGGTATTCCATCTCTGTTCTTTAGTGAGGAACACTTTGGACTCGGGGATCTTTTTCCGCCTGCCTCGACATGCTGTGATGCTGAAAACACGAGATGTCACCATGGCAACGGTCAAATAGTCATCCCAGCAAACCCCGGCGGCAAAAGAAAAGGGCGTCAGGAGGTTTAGGAAACGCCCCGGGACGCACATGGGGGCTCAACTCCTCCATCACACCCAAACCCCGAAAACTCTACAGATTTCAGTACAGCCACGCCTACAAAACCTTTAACCACAACGTCACTGCTCCTGAACCCGTGACATACTGTAATTATTACTGATGCTCATTAACTGGTCATGAATTACTTTGATGTAGATTCTCACATGATCAAAATAGACCTCCTTAATTCAACTGACCGAATACATGAAGCAGAAGGACATAAAATTACTTTTTTGGGTTAAAAAACAATCCAATAACAGTTTTACTGAACAATCCCCACATTTTTAAGCATTTTAAATGGCTGTAGAGAAATGGCTGAAAATGTACAGCCGTCGTGTGTTTTATTTTACGTAGACCAACACTTTTACAAATCAAATGACATGTTAATACTGGAGTTCCTCCCTAAAATGGCCTTCATAACTCTCTCATCGTCTGAATTTGTGGGTTTGTGGCTTCTTTCTGCCCGTATCTCATGTGATGATCCCAGAACTGCCTGTTTTGGAGGCGCACCTCCCTCATAGATCATCACAGATGGGCCACAGGATCTAGGCAGGGTTTAAATCAGGGGTGTGTTTTTATTTCTTTACATCCAAAGCAGCCGGAGATGCTCAGGCCTTTCTGGCCTCCTCATTTAGACCCAGAACTGACTGGAGGGATTATCTATCCCATCCGGCCTGAGGGGGTGTCAGTATCCCCCACCAGGAGGGAGACGTCTGCCTCTGTTGCCCCGGTGACCCGACTCCGGATTAACAGGAGATAACGGATGGAAGGAATAATAAGTCAAAAGCCTTTTTTTCCTGTATGAAATGCCTCTCTGAGTCCACATATTCACCCATTAAATAAATACACACCACTTAAATTGAGTTGATTTTGTTTCAGGAGTATTTTTTCTCTGTTCTTATTCGAATGCTAAACAGCAGAAGGGCTACCAGGGCTGATGATGAATCTGGAGCAGCTGGGGAACAAACGTGGCATGAGACTGTAAATCTCAGTCTTATTTCTCAGAGTAATAGTTATTACACGGTAATTGAAGAGTTTAAAAGTTCATTTCTAAGACTCGCTGCTCTGAAACAAGCTGGAAACGTCTGAAAGAGCCTTCATAACTCAGGTTCAGTAAAGATAAAACACAGCACTTTTTCAGTGGTGTTAAAGAAAAAAAAAAGAACACCTGAAAAAGGGAAGAAGAGAGCAAAATGCCTCCATCCCTATCGGGTCCCTGAACTAAACAGGGAGTCAGTCCACCAGCAGGAGAGAGGAGCAAACTCATCCACTATAGATCCAGATAGATGAGCAGAGCTATACTGGGAGAGCTGCTTATATTATATTCTGAACCCACTCCTCCCAGCAGCCTTGGTCTACTTGGTGGCTGCCAGCTACCGTCACTCCCTCCGAAAATTCAAAAAATGCGAAAACCAGAGAGCTGTGGATGATTAACTTTTCATAAAGAAAGCATATGAGGTGACTGGCAGAGGACCAAGTCCCCTCTTATGATTCAGACCCGCACATTAAATACACCAGAGTCTGGCAGGAGTCTGAGGCTGACACAGGAATCTGACGGCCTTAAAAGAAGTGCAGTGATGACTGCATGGTTCATCAGAAATTCTGCAGTTTTCCACAACGCACACGCACGCCCGCCTGCCTTTTTTGGAGTTATTTTCAATCTGGCCCAGACTTTCAAAAATGTAAATACGGACAGAATCGAGTGATTCAGCTTTTAAACGCGCCCCCCCCCCAACTCGCCCTGTGTGAGAAGTCCAGATTTAACACCTAGGTTTTGTTTAGAGTGCGAACTCAAAGATGGCAGCAGATTCTGCCCGCTGTGGCGGATTCAGTCCCGTCTAATGACCGAACAAGTGATGTGCATGACTGTGCTGGAAAAACAAGTCGGCTGGGTGAGTTCCCCTTCAGGGGGCACTCCATGGCTTGGTCAAAAGCCAAGCGGGGCTGCGAGCAGGAGGCGAGGAATCCAACCTCAACACAGGAATCTGCATGACTCTGCAGAGCCGTCCGGGCTCACGCGTTAGCCACGCAGTGGACCGAGCTTCCTCTTTCAGAACTATTCATCTGCCTCCCGATTCCTGACTGCATGCCTTTCTTCCTCTGATTAATCATCAATCTCTGGGGGTTTGCCCTCCTCCTCCTCGGTGTCCGTGTGTGTGTGTTTGCCTGAGAGTGCCCGGCGGACGTGCACCTCCTCAGATGTTGACGTTGACCGCGGTCCAGGGCCGCATTCTGCTGGCTTTTTTGCTCACTTTTGAAGTGTAACCTCCACATCCTCCATCTGCATGGCTGTCTGGAACCGCTTCCAGCGGGGCGGGTGCCCCATGCGAGGCAGACGGTCCGCGGCGAGGCCGGAGACGTGTAAACCTGCCAGTTCCAAAACACACACCGCGCCGCTGCCAAGGGGCTGGATTATCTCAGACGGCTTCTTTTTTTTTTTTTTTTCTCCTGCACAGACGCGGCAGCGGAGGCCTCGGCGGGCGCGCGCCGGGGTTTGACCGATGACGGGAGACAGGTGCAGCCAATTAATGGGCGGTGACAGGCCGTCTGGGGCCCGGGGCCCAGGGCCCCTGGCCGGGAGGCTGATTCCGCCTTCTGAGTGTGCAGCCTGGAGCTTTTTTGCCCAGAGCGGCGGAAAAGATGCGGCGAGGGGCGGTTTTGCTTTTGTGCTGGTTGGCGCATGAAACAAATGCTTTAACAGGAAACCTCCATGGAGACACAAAACTGACCGTTAGAGGGGACCGTGATGCAGAAACACGACTTTTTAAGATCCCCGAACAGATAATGATGACGTTGTGTGGCTCAATATAAAAAAAAACCACTAGGCTGTGGCTTGCAGATGAAAAAGCAGCTACAATGTAATGATTTTTTTAGTTTCTTCAGTGAGGTCAAGCCCTTGTTTGTGCCTTTGATTCAATGAAAACGAGCCGGAACGCTACATAAACAAATTCTGCAAAGTAGGAGCCCGAATGGGGAGGCTCGTAACGAGGACGGGGACCCAAACTAGGTCACCGCTCTGCTGTCATAAGCTAGTTTGGAGAAAATATTCAGCGATCCACAGACAACAATCACACCACACGTCAGCGTTTCTCTTAGAGCCACATTCTTAAACATAAGAAGCTCTTTAAAACGCTTCTGCGTCTTTTCTCTAAAGTTTCCCGCCGACAGTGTTAACGGCTGCTTTCATAGACTTCTCCCCCTCACCTTAGACCGCACCAATTCACACCCCCCCCTCTCTCCCTCCCCTGTCCACAAACCTGGAAGTGACACTCCTCAGTCCCCGTGGGGGCGGCTGCTTCCAACAAATCCAGATTTAAACGCCCCCCCCCGAACCCATTTTCTTATTTATTTAACGGCCCGCTGTAAAAGGACTTCATGCAGATGATGTTAAAAACTGGGCAGCACCTTAAATTTTACGGGCTCTGACTTATTCCACGTGTATCTGTAAAGTCTCCGGCGCGCGGGTCTGCGATAGCGGGCGATGGGGGCGGCAGGATGTGCGGCTCTGTGGCCGTCCTGGGGGTTTGCCGTAACTGGAAAGGGACCTCCAGAAGGAGCGGCGGGAGCCGGGCCCCGCTCCCACAGCGGCCCGCAGCCATATGGAAGCGTTTTGCTTCCCCAGTCATGCCCCGTCGGCTTTAACAAAAGTGGCGACTACCACATACACTGCTTTTGGGACTTCATTCAGTAGTGTCTTTTAAAGAGAACGAGCCCACCCCCCCCTTTGCCCACTAAAGAGGCCTATTTTAACCAAAGCAAAAAACACTCTTGATCAATAGGAGCTTAAAAGAAGAGTGGGGCAGTGGGGAGGGAGTCAGATATCTTGCATTTCCTGCTTAAATGTGGCAGCGAGTGGAGGGGATACTGCGGCCGTTTTGGGGCCAGGTGCAGGACGCTGTTATCTGGCAACGTTGGGCTCAAAGTGAACAAGTGTAAGCGGTATTTCCAGCGGTGGCACGTTGCAGCGAAACAGCGGCGCAAAGCCTGATGCAAAAACCATTCGGGATTGGGAGAGACTCCTAATTTCATGCTTGCCTCGGGAGTCCCGACAACAGGGGCAGGGATTCAATGCGGATTGTAAATTTGACTTTTAGTGCTCCGCAAACACCGGAGCTCTGCTTTTCACATCCACCGGAGTATGAAGGGATTAAATGGAAGAGAGCAAAACGACAACAAACCCTGCATCGCTGGAGCCCGAAAGACGGGGCTCTTTCCTCTTTCTTTCCTTTTTAACCCGGTGACTAGATAGCGCCCGGCGTTCCTCTCTGCAAACACAGAGAAAAGGCCCAGAGGAAAGCGCCGGTGGGAGAGCCCAGCTCGCCCTGCAACAATGCCCTCTTTGTCCCGGACTAACACGGTACCTACCGGCCTGCGCTTTGATGCGCTGCCAAGACAAACCACTGTGTTGGGTTACAGTTCTTGTAGCAAAACAATCTGCGCTTGTGTTTAATACACTACAGTCCGCCTGCGTCGAGCTGGCTGTCAGTCAGGCCGTACACACACACACACACACACACACACACACACACACATCTGACTGGGGGCCTGCTCCTTATCCCATTAGCACTAATGAGAGAAGGGTATGTTCATAATGTGTGTTGAGGGCTACCTGCTCAGAGGATATGGAGGAGAGATAACTGCCCAGGCTGCAGCATCAAAGAGAGATGACAGATAAATCCCCTCTCCCTCTCCTTGGGTTCACTTTTTTTTTTGGAGCTAATTTTCCCTCGCAGAGCATCACCTTCCAATCTCACCTCCATTCCACATACACACACACAAACACACACACACACACACACGCACACACTCTCTGCTTCAACACAGTCGTTAATTTGCGCTGCGTGCCAACATTCCTATTTCAAGCAGCAGTTCTGCTCCCGTGTGCGTTTCCCGGCTCGTGTGCGTTAAAAAAAAGGGAACTTTGACAGCTTTGGGTGCAAGAGTAGCAACATTTTTCTTATCAACGGCGACTTTCTGACAAAATGGAGCTCAAAGCTGTGTGAAAACTGGGTAACTTGAGTTCTTGGAGACACGAAATACGGTTTTAATGGAGCTTTAAGCCAGAATTGAATTAAATTAAATTGAATTAAAATGTAAACATGCTGTGTAGCAATCTTTGATATCTTAACAAGCATTAAAGCTTCACGTTTCAGCATATTTAAACCAACAAAAGGACGAGTCAGGAAAGTCGTCCCGCTGCCTAAACTTTCACCATCTGATCTGCACCAGGAGCTGCATACGAATCAGAACTCATCAGGACCGTTTGTAATCACAATTCACACTCTTTATGTTGATTTTATTCAAATTTTCACCAGTTTGAAATTAGAAATTTTCAGGAAATATCAACTGAACAGGCGGCTGCTAAAGTGTTTCACAGAAAGGAGCTGAATAGGACTTAAAGTGTCTTTTCCCACACGTAAATCCACTGCATTAATATGGGTTAATGATTGTTTTAGTTTGTCTGGCTAAATATTCACCTCATGCCCTTCATGTGATTAAACGGCTCGCTAATTGGCCGACATTTATTTGTCTTATGTGATATTAACCCGAAAGCTTCAGGGTTTGTACGCTTTTTGTTTTCTATTAAATGCTAAAATAAACAAATGGAGTTTGGGCCGTCTATTCTGATGCTTTCTGCAGCATTAAACACGAGAGGGTGACTGAAAAGTGCAACAGCGCCCCCATCGGGCCGTCGTGCTGCGTCACAAGGGAAGCAGCAGCTCAGAGATGATGCTACAGCTGCTAGCTTTAGCATCATCACTGAGTGGCGAGAGGAGGTCCATTTCTGAAACGAGCAGCCCTACCTGCGGCTGGTCTTCTTCCCTCTCTCTTCCTCGTCGGGCTCTGCCGCTTTCTCCCCTTTTTCTTTCTTCAGCTTCTGACTGATGAGCTCTCTGATCTTCTCTCTCTCCTCCGAGTCGTATTCTTCGTCTGACTCCTCGTCGTCCTCGGAGTCATCGTCCGACTGGGAAAATAGAGAAAGAAAACTCAGAGTCCTGTTAAAACTACTCTGCGGACTTTCCTTTAGAGCCTCTTTTCCGACTTACGTCAGCCCCAGTTCCAGCTGTTCTTTTCTTTTTTTTCCTTTAAAAAGTACAAAAACCACGGGTTCACATCAACAGACTAAAACGAAGGCATATTAAAAGATCAGCTGCTTTGTTATCACACAAACTTTTTGACTGCAGGAACAGAGCTCAGTCTGGGGTCATCTTTCAGAAGGTCGTGGCTGCTTTTGCTTTTTCCCTTTAATGTCTGAGGAAACAGACACAGAAACACAGGATTGTATCCATTTGTTCACCAACAAGAACAAAATTCTACTGAAGTTTAATGAAAACTGATGTTTCACGTCAAGCATAACATTTTCTGACTCGATTGAACCTGTTCAGTAACTTCAATGCGTTCGTTTACTGCTCAAATTCTAACTCAACTGCTTACAATGCAGAATCGTGGTTATTTGAAAACTTGAAAACGTAGCTGCTGGCTCCTCTAAGAATCATCAGACTGACTGACAGAGCACAGGAGGACTCGCACGCTGCTGACTCAGCAGTTCAGTACCTGGCTGACTTGTGTCGCGGCCTCCTCCTCTTCCTCGGCTTCCTCTCCAAATGACAACAGACTGAAGTTCCTATGAAAGGAAAAGTAGAAAAGTCAGCATAGAGTCAGTGCTGAAGCATGTTTAAACAAACTACATTGAGCCTTTTCAGTCCATAAAAACAAAATTTGAAATTATTTTAAAAAAAATGTTACCCTCCATAAACCAATGACTTTGTTTGACTCTTTTTCCTCTTCACTGATAGCTTCTCTTTTCATCTGGCATCTTTTATTTAAGGTAGATTTTTAATAAGTTTTGTGTTTGATAAGAAGTCCCTTGAATTTACTATTAAGTTAAATGCTGATTTTGTTGCTGTGATTTTTTGTATGTATTTGGTTATGCGTCAGACTGGTGTGGAGTGCCAGTCATTAATTCTTTTGGTTACTTTGTTAAACTAAACGTTATTATTTTTATTCGCAATCCATCTGAGGGTTTTCTGGAAGGTTGTCATGTGTCTGACAACCTATAACTGATCAGATGAATGAAAATGAACTTGAAAAACGTGAAAAGTTAGAAAACTATCAAACAAATCATTGATCAATGCACAACTCATCGATCAACTTCCTGCAGCTCAACAAAAAACTGCCAAAGAATTCAAGACAAATGAAATCTCAGCTCTCACTTCGTGGCTTTTGACTGAGATTTCTTTGCCTCCTCTTTGTCTTTTTCCTTTTTTCCCTTCTTTTCACGGGGTTCGATGTCATCAAAGGGAGAATGCAGAACCTGGAGGAGGAAAACAGAGTCATTTCTCCCTGAAAAGTGGACTACGCGGTTAAAAATTATAAAGAAAATGTAGAGAAAATAAAACACCTCTGCAACTCTGATCTTGTGGGGCTTCAGGGGTCTCTCTTCAGCATCACATTCAACATCCGCTAATCTCAGCATGTTATAAACTGTGTCCCCAGTGACCTGTCGTAGGGATTGTGGAAAAAAGAAACACACAGACCTTTTTACCCACTGCAACTCAGACCACAAACATGAGACACGAATCACAACAGTCGTTGAGATTTACCTTTCCGAAGATGGTGTGTTTGTTGTTGAGCTCATCTGCGCGTCCCAGTGTGAAGAAAAACTGACTCCCATTATCGTGTGGCCCCGCGTTGGCCATGGCGACCAAGCCCCTCCGGATGAAGCGCAGCCTGGAGTGAAACTCATCCTAAAGGTTTTAAAGTGGCGGCTTGTTTTAATGGCTGAGCAGGTTTTAGCATGAATCTAAACAGATACGAATAAAAGAAGAGGGAAAGCGGTCTGACCTTGAATGGGCGGCCGTAGATGGACTCCCCTCCGGTCCCTGTGCCTGTAGGATCGCCCCCCTGAATGATGAAATCACGCACCACTCTGTGGAACATTGTTCCATCATAGTAACCTGAAAAATTCAGAAATAAAAAGATTCTTTTAAATAAGATGACGTAGCAGGAATTACAGCAAAAAATAAACAGGACTAACTGATGGGTTTAGTGCTGCTCTTTGCATTGCTACTAAGATTAGAGAAAAATATAGAGAGAGGGTACAATTTCTAAGAATAATGTTTTCAAACACAGCCAACTTTGGTTTTGTTATTTTCCTGCACTGACATAATTTATTATTTGTTGTTTGACTGGAAGTGAACGTTTACCTTCCATACACAACTGGACGAAGTTCCTACATGCTTTAGGAGCCTCTTTAGACCACAACTCTATGTCAATTTCACCAGCTGAGGTCTTCAACAGGACCTGAGAAGACACGAGGGAGCGGATAATAAAACGGTAAATTAGAAATATATACAGAATAATATCAGGTAGCAGTCAAAATCACACTCACTTTTCCGTTTGTTGGTGGCTCTTGAATATAAATGTTACTCATTTTGCAGCTATGGTTGTGTTTCTATTTGATCTCTTACAGTATTTAACACTTAAGCTGCTGAAAAGAATAAGTTGGACCACACATATATAGCTAATATATTGCTTAGAAGGAACCTATTTTAATCTTTCCTCTCCACGGCCATATTGGCTGTTCATATGAGCGCCTTGTTTACTTCAGAGTTCGAGGGGGTTCTGAAAAACTATGTTTATTTTAATTGAATTTAGTTAAACTGCTATTTAACCGTTCAGTTGTTCTTATATTTTATCTGTACTTAATAAATTTTCACCATTAGTCTGCCATGACAGAAATAACAAAACAAACTCCAAATAAAAACATTTGATTATACTGCTCCCCGCATGCTTAAATATCGGTTTGACCGAAATGTTCTATGGCAAAAGAACCGCGGAAACAAAGTAGGTCGTTTGTTCCTAGCCAAGCTTTTCAGTTAAAAGAAGAAGTATAAAATGTGTTTTGTATCCACATACTATGTATAATATAAATTAGCCAATCACAGATCTTCTGTTATCTTTCAAGTGGAATTATTTAAGTAATAGGTTGGACTGGGAACTCAGAAATTCAGGAGCTAAGCGGAAGTGCCCCAAGACAGAAAGGACCGTGCGGAAGTTTTCCAGCAATGGCGGCTTCTGAAAATAATGTGGATCTGAAACGAAAAGCTGATGATGGCGAGGAAGCAGACGGAGATGGGGAAGATGCTGACTGGGTCGGGCCCTTGCCAAACGAAGCGACAAAGTCAAAGAAGCGAAAAGGTGGATTTATTTACATTAGATGTACCTTATTGAAGATGTATACCAGCCCTGCTAATAAATGCTAAGTGCTGCTAATCACAGTTCAACTAATTCCTGTTTGTTTTGTTTTCTCTTCTCAGTGCTTGAATACGAACGTGTCTACTTGGATAACCTTCCATCAGCCGCCATGTATGAACGGAGCTACATGCATAGAGATGTTATTTCCAATTTGGTGTGTTCAAAGTAAGTCGCAAATCACAAGGAGAGTGCTGCTTGCACTTTAGGTGTCTTGTGTACAAAAGGAATGTATTGAAAACTAAGTTAAATTCAATACAATGACAGGAAACTGCAATCATTTCTGTTCCTCCACAGAATTTTGGTTGTTTGGTTATTTATAAAACAACTAAATAGAAGGTTTGATTGAAATATTATTATGAAACACATTGTGCTGTATATTGATGCCATCTAATTCCTGGAGGAGCTTGTCCTATCGGATAGCACAATAGTGGGGAAATGAGGACCCTTCCTTTAAAAATATACATGCGCAAATTAGCTCAGTTTATTGAACTATCAATCATCTTCTTGTTTCAGGACAGACTTCATCATCACCGCCAGCCAGGACGGTCATGTCAAATTTTGGAAGAAGAATGAGAACGAGGGAATCGAGTTTGTGAAACACTTTCGAAGTCACCTTGGTATGAAGAGGGATTTGTCACAACCTCGTCTCCCGCAGAAGATTTCTGGCTGCTCTGCTGGGCTCATTCTGTTGAGTTTACCCTTGTTCTGGCTGTTTGTGCAGGTGTGATTGAAAGCATCGCGGTGAGTGCTGAAGGAGCTCTTTTCTGCTCGGTTGGTGACGATCAGGCCATGAAGGTATTTGATGTGGTCAACTTTGACATGATCAACATGCTGAAGCTGGGGTAAGTCTGAACTCCGCTTATGCAGATTGCATCTCTTTATGAAGGACACGACACTGATGTTTTCTTCTGCTTCTTGGTAATCCCTGTAGCTTTCATCCGGGCCAGTGTGAGTGGATTTATAATCCTGGAGATGCCATTTGCACCGTGGCTTGTTCCGAAAAATCCACAGGAAAGATCTTTGTGTACGACGGGAGGGGAAGCAACGAGCCCTTTCACGTCTTTGACAAAATGCACTCCTCGCCGCTCTCCCAGATCCGCCTAAATCCCAAGTTTCGAGTGATCGTGTCTGCTGACAAAGCAGGAATGCTGGAATACTGGACAGGCCTTCCAAATGAATTCAAGTTCCCAAAGTACGTGGGCTGGGAGTACAAAACGGACACTGACTTGTATGAATTTGCCAAGCACAAAACCTACCCCACCAGCCTGGCTTTCTCCCCCGATGGCAAGAAAATGGCCACCATCGCCTCGGACAGGAAAGTGAGGATCTTCCGCTTCCTGACGGGAAAGCTGATGAGGGTGTTTGACGAGTCGCTGACGGTAAGTGGTGCCGCTAACGCCCACCCGCCCGGGCTCACGCCGCGGACGCCTCTCATCGCACGGGCCGCGCCTGTCAGATGTTTACAGAGCTGCAGCAGATGAGGCAGCAGCTGCCCGACATGGAGTTCGGCAGGCGGATGGCGGTGGAGAGGGAGCTGGAGAAGGTGGACGGGATCCGGCTGACCAACATCATCTTCGATGAGACCGGCCACTTTGTCCTGTACGGCACCATGCTGGGCATCAAAGTCATCAATGTGGAGACCAACAGGTATGTAGGCATCGCTTTCATAGTCACATGTATTTATTGAGTTAGTGGGACAGGACAACCTGATGTGGAAATCAGGGGGAAAAGAAGTAGACAGCATATTTGACTGAGCAAACACTGGATCCTCTGGAACATGAACACAATGAGGACAATAAGCATAAATAAATGACTCATGAAGCTGATATTTTTAAAGCTTATCAAGTCAAAATTGATGATAAAATCTGATGGTTTAGTCTCAGAATAGAGGAGGGTCATTTAAGATACCCAGTATTGAAAACGGTTATTCCGGATGACCACCGTCCTCAGTAGTCGAAGCCAAAGCTGAATCCTTTCCAGCTCTGGCGGTATCTGGAAGAATGAGCTGGCGTGCAGAAATAAGGATGGCGCGTCTCCTGGCTCTTCTTCTCCAGATGCGTGCGCATCCTCGGGAAGCTGGAGAACATCCGCGTGGTCCAGCTGTGTCTGTTCCAGGGCGTGGCCAAGGCCATGGCGGTGGCGCCCACGGTGGAGATGAAGGCCTCCGACAACCCGGCCCTCCAGAACGTGGAGCCGGACCCCACCGTCTTCTGCACCGCCTTCAAGAAGAACCGCTTCTACATGGTGAGAAACCGCCGCCTCGGCTCCGGAGAAAGCGGATTCTTTTACTCTCTGTTAACACCTTTTTCAAATTTTCACGGTCTCTTGTTTTAGTTCACAAAGAGAGAACCAGAGGACACGAAGAGCGCCGACTCGGACAGAGACATCTTCAACGAGAAGCCCTCGAAGGAGGAGGTGATGGCCGCCACGCAGGCCGAGGGCCCCAAGAGGGTGTCGGACAGCGCCATCATCCACACCACCATGGGAGACATCCACATCAAGCTGTTCCCTGTCGAGTAGGTGTCCCCCACCCCCCCCCCCCCCTCAGGCCTCCGGAGCGCCCTCGCCTCGGAATGAGTCTCAACCCGCAGCTTTTTGTGTCCGCAGGTGTCCGAAAACGGTGGAGAACTTCTGCGTCCACAGCCGGAACGGCTACTACAACGGCCACATCTTCCACCGAGTGATAAAAGTGAGTGTCCCCCCCCACCACAACTCTCCCCCGTCCAGCTAATCACAATCACAAGCCCCACAGTGAGCGGCCGTTAACCTCCTCCCGGTGTCCAGGGCTTCATGATCCAGACCGGAGACCCCACGGGCACAGGCATGGGAGGGGAGAGCATCTGGGGCGGGGAGTTCGAGGACGAGTTTCACGCCACGCTGCGCCACGACCGCCCGTACACGCTCAGCATGGCCAACGGCGGCCCCGGCACCAACGGATCGCAGTTTTTCATCACCGTGGTGCCCACGGTGAGTCGTCCAGTTCCAGAACCGCCAGGCCGCGTGGCGTCCAGACGACCCGCACTATCCAAACAGTCTCAGTCGTGTTCGTTTGTAAAAAAATTGTGTTTTTTATGTTCCTCTCACACAGCCGTGGCTCGACAACAAACACACCGTGTTTGGAAGATGTACAAAAGGCATGGAGGCGGTCCAGAGGATTTCCAACTCCAAAGTAAACCCCAAAACCGACAAGCCGTACGAGGACATCAGCATCATCAACATCACCATCAAGTGACGGCGTTTCCCACTCGTCACTCGTATTTTTTTAACTGGTTTATTAAAAAAAAGCTTCAAAATGATAGCTTTTTCATTTCCTAGCAGATTGTTCGGTCGGCAAAAGAATTCCCCCCCACAGAGACGGGTGAAGTCAAATAGTTTATTTTACAGCGTCACATTATGCGTCATTTACAAAAAACCCATTATCAAGTCCACTGGTAACAAAGGTCTCGGCGCGTTTTGTGCTTGGGGGCTTCAGGAAACAAACGGAGGTGTGGAAACGTGCATCTTTTTTAAATTTGTATTCTTATACATAGATACAAATAGTAAACATTACATAGCAATGAATAAAGATCACACTCAAACGATGGTTCCTTAATAACAAGACAAGTGTCAGTGTTTGGGTTTAATGTTTCACCAAGTTTCACTTTTTTTTTTTACTGAGCTGACTGAAGGTGTACCATCTTTAAGCACTCTGGACTGATACACGGGAGCTGGATGACATGTTGATACCGGGATAATGCTCACACCTTTTTTTTTTTTCCTTTTTCTTTTTAGCAGTGAGGTTAATACACACTAACAAACAGCAGATGCTTCATTTGTGTCCAAATGAAATCGGGGCAGTGCGCCGCACTCATGGAAACGTCCACGTCCCTGCTTATAAATACGCTCAGTAAACGGCTTGTAACAGAAAACTCTTACTAGTGTGTCGTTAAATAGGTTCACACCTTTTTTGTTTTTTTTACTATAAAGGAGAAAAGTTGAGCCGGGCAGACGTGGGCTGCTATTGCTTACGTCAGACGAGAAGGCAAAATCCAAAAACGTTTTGGCCATGGACTGGAACCACCACCAGCTCACTCCCTCTGCCGATGCACGGGACTAAAACTACATGGTTTTTTCCGGGATTATCAGCCGATTACAGAGAAACTAGAGATTATAGTGTGATTGTTACATGGTTCACATATGTTAGAGGTTATGGTGAGTAAACTACTGCCTCGCGAATAGAGGCCAAACAAAAAGAGAGCAGACCAGACACGTGTAGGAGGGGCTTCTTTAGTCCTAATCTGGGATTTTGGCTGAGGGTAAGAGGGTGGGGGGGTTGCAGCTCGGAACAGACTTAAAGATATTTCCACGGTCTTGAGTTGATGAAGGCGGGAAAAAGTGTTTTACATCTTTCCGTTTTGCCCGGAGGAGGAAAGATGAGGGGCTTTCAGCCCCGACTTTAAAGTCTTCGTTGATGAAATGAACCGGGTGCGAGAGGCTGACATTTTGGGATTGGGTGTGTGTGTGTTTGTGTGTGTGTGGGGGGGGACTGGGTCAGGCTTAGGCCACGTCCAGGACCCCGGCGGCCACCAGCTGCCTGGACAGCCAGTCCAGGCCCTCGTGGAGGCCCATCCCGCTGCGGGCGTCGCAGCCCTGGATGTGCCAGCTCCTCCCGCAGCACAATTTATGCAGACTCAGCAGTTCTGTCATCTCCTCCACCGCCACGGCGCCCGGGACGTCCTGCAACGAAACCAGAGTTACCGACGTTTACCCACGGTCGTCGAGGACGAGGAGGAGGAGAGAGGGAGGATGCTCCCGGTCACCTGTTTGTTAGCGAAGATGAGCAGCAGGGCGTCGCGCAGCTCCTTCTCGGTCAGCAGCTTGGCCAGCTCGCTGTGGGCCTCCATCAGCCGGTCTCTGTGGCAGCTGTCGATCACAAACACCACCGCTGCGCACACAGGCACAGGGCGTGGGTCACACGGAGCCTGGACACGTCAACCGCTCAGGCCACGAGTGGAATACTGAGCTCCACAATGATGTAATCAGCTCACTGGGGCACGTCAAGCTTACTTTAAATCGTTTCAATCCTTTTACATTATTAGATATTTTTATTTAAGGGTATGTTGTTTCTTATTGTATCAGTAGTGTGGCTGAACAGTCATAAAAATAATTTACCGGCTGGAAATGAAGGTTACGCATGTGTTTTAATGCAGTAAAAAGGCTCTTATCCAAAAACCCAAAAATTTGGTACAAACGAAATTAGAAAAAATTAAAAACACGGAGCAATATATTGACCATTAAGATAATTTTTTTTTAAATCATTTCATGAAAATGTTTGCTCTGCTTAGATTTGATCGAAGTAAAAATGCCATAAAAAGTTGGGACAGGAAGTGGAAAAAGAAGTGGGCAGCATGAAACTAAAAAGAAAAATAGTGAAATTATGGACACATTTCGGCACATTATTGCAAAAACTTTGAATGTGTTATCAATCTACAGAACAGGAAATCAGACAAAGGTTAAGAACATATGTGGCCTTAAGGCCCTCAGGCAGCTCTGCATCACAACAGGCCTGTACCTGTTAAAACACCTGACTGGTTTCCTGCGAGCTGAGCAGTGTGGAGTTTCAATAACAGGCTGCGCACTGATCTGTTCAGCCAAAAAATCTGAGCTTTAGGTTTCAGAGCCCTTTGTGAGATTCGAAAGGAGAATGAGTCTCTTTTAATAATGGCTTCAAGGCTACGCGTTCTTTTGTTTACGACAAAAAAGCGACGCACAACCGGTGAGTGTTGACCCAAGGCTGATGCCAGCACTCCTCTTTTCCTCTAAAGGAAAAGAATCCACTCCAGTGGGTTTTAGAGACTGTTTTTCTTTTTTTGAAAAATTTTAATGGTGGCTTTACGCTCTCAGCGGCACATTTTGACAAAGAGAAATTCAGGAGCTTTTGCGAACGGCGTCTCAAAAGTCACCAGGAATGCTGCTGCGCATTTCTGATGAGTGCCTTTGTTTCGCCGAGGCCAAAAAAGAGCAACAAATCCCAAGCATTTAAAGCACGGCACATACCTTGAGTGTTCAGATAATAGTGTTTCCACAGAGGTCTGAGCTTATGTTTTCCGCCCACATCCCATATTGTGAATTTCAAGTTCTTGTATTCAACCGTCTCCACGTTGAAACCTTCGGAGGAGGGAAAAAAGAGCATTTAGGACAACAATGAGAACAGATCTAAACTCAGAGGCTGACGAGGCCTTTACCGATGGTGGGGATGGGCTGCATGAACTCGTCCTGCTTCAGCTTGAACAGGATGGTGGTTTTTCCCGCTCCGTCCAGCCCCAGGGTCACCACGCGGATCTCCATCTTTGGACCGATGTGGACCCTGTTGTCCTGGAAACAAAGCAAGTTGGGGAGGGGTTGGACGGCTGCACGTCGCGGACGCTGCGGTGGCCGGTCGGGGCCGGGGGGGTGGGGTGGTCTACCTTGGTGAAGGTGACCGGGATGCCGGCGTCCAGCTGGATGTGGTCGGCCAGCTCGGTGAACTGGTGCTGCTGCTTCTGGAGGGTCTCCAGGAGGCAGTTGATCTCCTGTTTGGCCAGCACCACCCGGCAGTCGTCCTGCAGACACACGGCGTTAGCCCCTCCTCTCTCTTTCTCCCCCCTCTCCCCCCCCCGTCCCCTACCTGCTGGAGGGTCTTCTCGCAGTGCAGGCAGGCGGTGGACACCTGGGACAGCAGGATGGTCATGTCCTCCTGCTGCTGCCGCAGCCAGATCAGCCGCTCGCGCACGTGGGCGTCCACCACGCTCAGCGCCATCTCCTCCTGCCGGCACAGCGTCTCGTGGAGGTCGGCGAAGTAGGCCCGCACGCAGGAGCGCGCGCTCTCGGCCGTGCCGGGCACCTGGGGGGGAGAAAAAACCCAAACGAACAAACACCGTAAGCCTGGGGGACTGCTGGGCTCCGGACGGGGGGAGGTAGGTGGGAGAGGGTGGGGGGGGTGGATGCGCCTCACGTGTTCGGTGTGCGCCATGCCCACGCCGTCCTCCACGATCTGCTCGCCGCCCTCGATCTGCTGCACGATGCCCACCAGCTTCCGGGAGTACTCGGACACCTCGTCGGTGAAGGTGCGGATGCAGTGGGCCATGTCCAGGATGGACGCCCGGATCTGGTTGGCCTCGCTCTCCAGGAGGGCGTGCTGCCGAGAGGTTCCACACAGGCGTCAGCTTCCCCTGGACGCCGGTGGGTCCTACCTTGTGTCCCTGGTCCTACCTTGTGTCCCTGGTGCTTGCCGTACTCCTTGCACACGCAGCACATGAGCGGGCCGGACTGGCAGGCCTCCTCCAGGCACACGAACTCGATGGCGTGCACCTGGTGCTGGGGGCACAGCATCTTCTCGTGGGGTTTGTCGGCCAGCGGGACGCGGCGGTGCTTGGCCAGCGTGCGCGTGGAGTGGGTGAGCTGCGAGCACTCGGCGCACAGGTGGGTGGCGCACACGGTGCAGTACACGGAGGCCGTGTGGCTCTCGTCCTCGTCGCAGCGGATTATACACTAGAGCGGGAAAAAAAAAAGGGAATGAGCGGCGAGCGGGGGAAAAGAACGACGGGAAAAGAGGGAATCGAAAGCCCCCGTACTTCTCCCATTCCTTTCAGGGCGTCGTCGGCCATCCCCGACTGGTTGCTGGCTCCATTCTGGAGTCGCTCCAGAAGTTCAAGCAGGGCGAAGTTCTTCTTTAGGCCCCAAACTCCGGAGTCACCTGAGCAGGTGAGAGGGAAACAAAACGCTTTCAGGCAAAGTACCAAAGTACCAGGACGGCTTTCTTCAGATATCCATCAGAGGTTTTCCAGGTGTCTGCAATGCCTCTCTGCAAAGCCAGGAGCTACATCTCAGACTCCACAGGCTTCAGCTAGCAGGGTAAGGGTCAAAGGTCATGACAGTACAGCCAGAAAAAGAATGAACAGGCATGGTTTGTTGGTTTGGGCTGCAGGAGAAAGCCTGTGAGAGCTGTGAACAAACCAAACCTCCAAACCTTAATGAGCTGAGGAACCATGGAACGAAAACAGGAAAGAAAAACCCCTTACATCCAATGAGAGAGACAGAAAATATCAAATCCACTACATCACTGTAATATGTTGAGTTCTGAAACACGAGACTTTCGAGCTTTCTTCCTCGTGTTGCTTCGTCTTAATGGTATTTTCTGCTGTTTCCCAACCCCGTGTTTCCTCACCCAGCTCGGTGACCTGTCTGTCGAAGGGGCAGCGGACTGCCCGGCCGTGCAGGGGCAGCCGGGTCAGACAGTCGTGGCACACCGTGTGACCGCACAGCAGGAGACGAGGCACCTTGTCGCCCTGGAGGGAGAAGACGTCCTCACAGACACCACACTCCAGCACCTGTAAGACACACAACACGTTGACACCTCCGCCTCAACCCCCTCCAGATGTCCAGCAGCCTGTCCAGCTGCACGGGGATGCTTCAAAAGGGGCAGAGGGAATTAGATTAAGACTCGTTTCCCTTTGTGGATGCTGTCTACAAGCAAATGCAAAACACCAAGCGGCGCTTTGCATTCACGCTGCCTCATGATGCAGCCTCTTTTAAATCCCCTTCCTGGGCTTTGCTTCCAAAAAAGCTGCAGCGATCCTGAGCTGGCGATATTACATCCAGCTCTGGCAGCGTGCTAAGAAGGCTACATCATCCCCAAATAAGCAAGTGGTTACATTTTCAGGAGAAAAAAAAACGTCGTCACGTAGCTCCGATCTGTTTTAAATCTAAGGTTTAGCATCCAACGCCACCACGCCAACGCAGCAGCAATTGCCTGCAACAAGAAGCCGAAAAAGCGAGCCTCCCGCAAACGAACAGATGTCGATCAAACTGTGAATTTTTTGTGACATTATTACAACCTTGACGGTGCTTCCACTGGCTCCCCTCCCGTGGCGGAGACAGGGCTCCATCGTCGCTACGGCGCCCTGCTTGTTTATTCCTGCTGCAGCGGCGGCCATTCTTGGACGACAGCGCAGAGGACTGAGCATGCGCCGGGAGGACAATCCCCCAACTACTTCCGGTTTCGTTCGGGCTGAGTTCTCTCAGCATTCAGAGCAGAGCATCTGTCACTTCTCAATAATGTCACAAATCCTGAGGTTGAAATGTCATAATATGAGTATTATATCAAAGTGGACTCTCATGTTATTAATTATATTCGCCCAGACCGATGAATTATTGTAGTTTTCATGTATTTCATGTTTTCATGTATTTCCTGTAATGAAGCGCATGCGCACGTTAAACCACATACTGATTCTTCCACCGTATTGAGCAAAATAATTATTGTCCAAGGTTTTCAACTTGTTTAGCCACACAGACTTTGTTGTATAGCAGTGTATATTTATGGGGCGTACGGTCAGGGGTAGCAGAGCCTCACCGGTCATCATCACAACAAAAAATATACGATAACACATTAATATTTGTCCGCTGATCATTATGTATGACTAATTGATAACATTTGAATAGTCAAAATCGCTGAAATTGCACATTTCTTGTTGAAATACGGGGTGAAACGTGAGGTGCGACAGCAGGCTCAACGCGGCGTCTACGTACATATGTCCATGGTTCTGACTACATATCCCACAAGTCTCATGTTGATGACGTATTTTAGGCGCCCTTCGTTTCCCAGGTAAAGGGAGTTGTTGTGGTTGTGAGCAACAAATTCCGCTCTTATTTCTTCTTCTTTAACGGTAGGAATCTCTTGTTTAAAATGTAAAAGCTTTCATTCTCAACAGTTTCATATTTTCGTGTGAATTTGTGCTCATTCTTAAAGGGATGGGTATAATAACGCTGTGTTTTTAGCGTGGGAAGGTACCACTCTGGTGACACTTTGTGTGCCCTTTTGTCACGTTTTAGGGGTTCATTAGCGATGTCTCAGCAGCCCCAGCAGACGTTGCCCCCCGCTCCTGACTCCCCAGCGCTGGTGGTCACGTCTAACGTCCAAAAATATGCCATAAAGAAGAAGAAAGTCCTCAATGCTGAGGAGACTGAGCTGTTTGAGCTGACTCAGGCTGCAGGCATCACTGTGGACCAGGAGGTGTTCAAGTGAGTGTAAACCTGACCGTAGTGGTGCATGTGAAGGGGGGGACACTGAATTTAAACTGGTTTTTGCCCCGTCAGGATCATCGTGGACCTGTTAAAGATGAACGTGGCTCCTCAGGCGGTCTTCCAGACCCTGAAGGCAATGTGTGCGGGCCAGAGAGTGGCGGACAGCTGCGGCGGGGAGGCTCCGGCCACCGCCACTACAAGCCTGACCACAGCTCCCACGGAGGCCAGAGGTTAGTGTGTGGCGCAAAGGCTGCCCCCAGGTCTGAAGACGACAGTTAAGGCACAGATTTGAAGGAAAAGGTACCTTAAAATGGCCCAATTAACTGAAAAATAGTCCTGAACAACATTCACTGACTCTTCGTTACTCATTCTAAAGTTTTCTTTTGCACATTGGCCGCTTTTTCCACTCATTTTCAGTCAACACCTTGTGTTTTTTTTTGTCTGTTAAACAACTAAACACTGACATAACTTAAGGGATGAGCCGTGCTGTGTCCACATAACACAGACAACTCAAAATAGAGGCAGTTTAAACTTTGTTACTAGCAGCCTGTCACAAAGAAACATAATTTGTTCCCGTTTCTTTAGTTGATGTGTGAAATATGCCAATGATGACGCTGTTTGACAGACAGGAAATAGTCACCACACCAATGGGATGACGATCACGTGTTAGTGGGTGGGGCCTGCTAACCTCAATAATATTTTAGTGCACATTTAAGCAGAAATACAAAACATTCTAAAGGGGTCACAAGCTTTGAGGCTTTGCTGTAGCAGTAATGTATGTTTAGCAGCATGGAGCTTTAGATTTGTGTTCCTGTAAAGCACAGGGAGCTCAGAACTCCTAGGTTAATATGTTTCTGACCCCTCCCTGTTCAAAGAATCCCCCCCCTTTCCTGTTCATCCCATTTGGAGCCTTTTCTTCTCTCAGGTGAACTGAAGTCCAGCCCTAAAAATATGGTCTTCGGTGGCTTCTTTCTAATTTCTCTCCACATGAATTCTGTCTTTTCTTCCCGTGCCTTTCTGCTTCTGAAAGAAGAGGACTCGCTGGTCTCTGGAAAGAGCCCGAAGCCTCCTGCAGCTCCCTCCTCTGCGCCGGGGCCCAGAGCCACAAGGGTCAACACAAAGATTGTGGTCTATGGACCTCAGGACGCTAGCTCTTCTCACTCCCAAGGTCCCTTCTGCCGTGCTGTGTCCTCCATCTCCATCTGCGCTCTGCTCGGCTTTTGTCAGACGCAGAAGTGCTCGTTGTGCCTGCCGTGTGGGCCTTGCTGTCCTCATCTCACAATCATGCGGGGGGAAAATGTGTGTAACGTGTGTGCCCGTGCATGTGCGTGCCGTGTGGGCCAGAGCTCGTCCTCGGACATATTCACATGAGATTTTCCTCTTTTGCTTTGTTCTAAAAGTGCCCGGATGGTAAAACATATCAAATCTTAGAGAGAGGTTTTAAAATGTGATGCTTGGGTAATAAGTGAAAAACCCCCCCATTATAACTCATGTTTCAAAGCCTTTCCTAAACACTAGTTCTCACTGTTAACAATTATTACGCAACAATCAGCACTCTGCTTGTTTTGATTTCACATAGATTAAACGGATTTATATTTGGTTGTGGGAGAATGGACAAAACTAGTTAAATTCATGCTAAAATCGGAAGAAATTAAAATCATTATTATTTTAAGAACAGAAGAAAGAAGGAGAGATGACACAAAATGTTTTAATTTTTTATTTATTTACTAAAAATGTCCAGTTTTACAAAGGAATTTGAAACATTAAAATTTTTTCAATATTAATTAGTCAGAATAGTTCTGAAATAATTTGAGTATTTAATTTAATAAAGAACTAATGGTAATCTAAAGTCTTTAAGTGTTTGGAAAGGCTTTTAAAGGTATCTACTGTCTCGATTAAAATCCCATCATTGATTTTAAAAGCACTCTCTTGCCACTTTATGGGTCACAGTTAAGTGTTTAACGTGTAAAAAGGTTAGAGAAGAGCTCTAACTTCACTCCGCATCGTGTGTCCGTCTCTCTCATTGCCATTTCTTCCCCCATAAGGGCCACGCTGCTTGGATGCTGTGTGGCAACCGTCATAAAACACCCCTCCGAGCCCTTATCTCCTCATCTGACCCGGCCTGTCTTCCCTGCTTGTTTCAGCTGTGCGCAACAAAGCCGGAGCGAGTCACAGCGAGAAGAGCAGAGAGGCCTCCAGCCAGAGGGTGCAGCGGCAGCCCAGCGCCACCAGGGGGCAGAAGACCAAGAGCTCCGGCAGCAGCAGCAGCTCCTCACAGGTCAACTCCACATAGCCGGGGCCCACCAGAGGCCCCGTGTAAATATTTAGGAGCGTTACTAACAGTTTATGTGCGTTTAACTGCTGAAAAACACGGCCAATTAGCCTAAATAGTCCTATTCCTTTCCTCATTGTAGTAAGAATTTGGTTTCATGTGCCTTGGGTTTAAGATGTCCGTTGGCTCTTCCTCTATAAAAAGAGATGTAACAGCTAAAAAAAGATCTGAACAAATTTAGCTACTGTGAGTGAATTATTGTGGATAGTTTGCAGCAGGAAGTTCTTCTGTTGTAGGACGAGAAGAAGGTGGTCGGAGTGTCAAACAAGGTGTAGAATTCCTTGACTTTTCAAACCCGTTTCGGGTCTGTTGCTGTACGTTTGTTTTTGTTGTTTTTTACAACTCGGAGCGATTAATCTGCTCTGGTCGGGAGGGCTCAGTGAACCGTAGCTTAAGAAAACTAATACAGATGCTAATTAAGGACACACTTTCCCCAGTTTGACAAGAAACTCCCCCACAATGAAAACCAGGTGGCAAAATCCCGCCAGAAAATGGTAAGAAAGAGGCTGAATTGAGACGTGAGCGTTATGCAAAACATTTATTGTTATTCAGGAAAATGTGGCTATTTTTCTGTTTTAATTTTAAAATTGTGAATCACTTGAATAAGTTATCATTGCAGACTGTTGTTAAACTAAGCTGGGCCTTTTTCTTATTTCCAGCCTACTCATTAGAATAATCAGTTATTTAGGGGCTCGCATTGTGTTGCAGATTGCTCCTATATTTGCATTTGTTGGGAGTTTCTTCGGTCTGTTTGCATGGATTTAAAGCGCTTGTTTTAAGCTGAATAAGATGTTTTCCTAGCTAGCAGCAGGGTTAAACTGTGTTTTACTAAGTTTCAGGGAGGTCGGCATGAGCTTCGAAGCCTTTTTAACGAGATACATATTCAAATCAAGCACATAACGCCGACGTAAAGGAAAAAGACAAATGTTTTCATTCCGTTTTCTTTTTTTACTGTTGTGTAAACATTTTTCTACCATTAAACATTTCATCAGAAACTGGCCAGTTGCCTCTTTTTGACATGTTTAAGGTCACTTTTCTTTTACAGTTTTTAGAAAAACATATATTGAAAATCTTAGAGCATCAGAGGACGCTACGGGCCAGTTTGAGTCCATCTGTAAGACGAATGAAGATAAACTTCCCCTCCGTCAGACTGAAAAGCTGCTCGTAATCACTCTAGACAGTGACTCTGAACATCTGAGTGACATCAGCAGATTTTCCTCTGCTTGCCGGCATCGAGATGCAGAATAAAGCGGACAAAGCAAAAATGGAGTACGGCCGTGCTACGCCTTTTCCAATCCTTCAAACGCTGACAGCTGAAGAGGTGAAGAACACTTGCTTCTTTTCTCTCTGTGTTGACTGATGACAAGTTACCCGAAGACGTCGGCGCAGAGGCCTCTTCTTTGTCTCTCCCCGAACAAGTAGCGGCTCTGTCCTCGTCCTGAATGGATGCTCAGGTCTACGAGGAGCCTGAAAAATGCCGCTTCCTCCTCGATTGGTAAGTGTCACCGCCGCTGATCTCGCTCTGGTATGCGCTCATTGATTTTTCTTTTTTTTTTTGTCTCGTGGCAATGAGGAGAAGTGCAGGCAAGCGGGGAGTGGAAGAGGACGTGTTTGGTAAGTTTGGAATTTGGTTCTTGTTCATCTTCTGGCTCCGAGTGCGTTGGCTCCCATCACAGGGGGGCAGTAGAGGCCCACTGCTGCCTAACCCTCCTGCCTCAACTGTTTTCAAAATCTTTTTTAAAAGTCTGCCCCCGTGTCACGAGTGAATCTGAGTTTTGAGCGTCGATGAAGAGATCTCTGAGTTTTTTTTTTTTCTGCCGTTTTTTTTTTTATGTTTTTGGTCGGGGGTGGGGGGGTGGGGGGGGGGGGGGGGGGGGTCAGGCGAGGCGGTGAGGGCGGACTCCGAGGCGGGCTGCAGGGCTTTGCGTGGCCCCAGGTCTTTTATGTGGCCGTTTGTCCTGTTTATGTGTCCCTGCCTCTCCTCTCCCCGGCACGCCGCATTGATGGCGGCGGGCCTGTAATTGATGGCACCATATTGCTGTGGTGTAGCAGGTTTAATGGGGCTTGACAGAGCAAGGGAAAGCAGCATGCATCCAGGGATGGGACTTAACCCTTTCACATGCACTCCAATCCCGTTCCCGGGGTCTGTTCTGCCCTCCCCCTGCACACTGGTGCATGCAAACACAAATGAGAATACAAATAGGCCCTGGGTGATTAGCTTGTTTACGATTCCTACTGTTATCTGTGGCCATGGTAATGGCGGTTTGGTTCATGATCAAGGAAGCTCAGACACCCCTCTGACTCCACTTCCGAAAATAAACACTCACCAGCTGTTGGTGCTCTCCACCGCTTTGCTCGGAAGAGCCTAAATGTGTTTGACAAAGGTAAACGGCTGGGAATTTATTTCTTTAAAGTCTCTGCCAGACTGCAGTTCGCCGGCAGGCCCACAGGGGTCAGTGTGAATCCGAGCCACGGGGCCGGGGCCCTCAAGCTCTCCCCCCTGGCTTTCCAAAAGGCGTTCCAAGTCCAGCATTTTGGATGTGTTTATTTTGTTATGAGGGAATTTCAGAGCCGGCGCCGAGTCCCCCGTTCAACAGCGAGCGTTATCCTTCACTCAGGCAGAGCGGCGTGCACCCGCGCACGGGCGCGGTGCGTCCACACGCTCTGTGCACCATTAATCAATAGAGAGGATGAAATGATGCTATTGTGTGCGAGGCAAGGCGAGCGGCGTGGTGAAGAATGAGCCAGTCAAAGCTGTTGGCAAATCATTAATGTAAGGTGTTGGTCTGAACCAAGTTCTCACACTCTCTGCTCAAGCTGTTCTCAGGTGACAAAAACCTGGGAGGAGACACTATTTTAGGAGCCAACATCACACCTCGCTTTAGTTTAAATATATATATATATATATATATATTTTTTTGTATGTCTTATAACCTTGTCACTCGTATTGCCTCTCGAGGCTGTTCCTCGGCGAGAGCATTAAGGTGTGGAGGAATATCACCCCGTTTTTCAAGCCTCTTCCCTCCGTCTCTTCCCCATCCTGTGAACTCTTGGGCCACATTTTCTCTGTGAATTTCACTTTCCCCTGCCTTGTCTCCCTGCATTCACTCCGCTCTCTAACCCCTCCACTCTCCATCATCCCGGCTCCCCCCCCCCCCCCCCGCCATCACCCTCCTTGCCGGGCTGGCAGCAGATTGGCTATTTCCTGCACGCGTCCAGTAGAGCCCTTATCAGCGGTAGAGTGCTGATTGTTGGTCTGTCTCTCAGGCTGACTGACAGTTGGAGCCGCGCTGCTGAAATGCCTGATTTGGTCAATGTTTGTCTGTGGGGCCTTATCTCCACACCTTATATTAACTGCCTTGACAGTATGTGCAGGCAGTCTCTCTCCATCTTGTTGCACTACCCTCCCAACGCCGCCGCCGCCTCCTCCCTCCATCCTCTGTCTCTATCTCCATTCACTCCCCATTCGGTGTCCTCGCTTTTTCAGCCTCCAGCTCAACACTTTCCTGCTGATCCTCCTCCTCTGTATTTGTTCCTTTTGTAGCCGCCTCAGCACTTGAAGACCATAAAACTCCCTTTATTTCTTGTTTGTTATTTCGGCCAGAAGCAGCATTGGTGTTGAAACGATGGGGTCAGTCCATCCCGAGTTACGAGCGCGACCCATTTTTCATTTTAAATCTTACCCACAGAGGTGATTATTTAGTTAAATTCAGTCCTAAAGCTGAACAGAGATGTGTCAGAGGTGTTTCTGAAGCCTGATATCCTGACTGTGTCCTCACCAGGGACACAAGCTCCGCCATTTATCCGACAGCCATCTTGCATTCCCCATGATGATCAAAGGAACGACCATTTTTAAGTTTCTCCTTCTTCCGCTCCAGTTTTTCTTCCCGCTCTGCGTCCTGGACGTCTCATCTTCTGCTAATCTTGATTTCAGGTCCTTTTTCCCCGGCGTTTCTTGGGCATTGAAGAGCTCAGTCAGCTGATTCCAAAGGTTAACAGCATCCCTGTTGGCATGGTTACGCGTCATCCCGCATGTAAGAAGCAGCAGAAGTCTTTCCAGCAGCACAAATGTTTCGGAACACTTCTCAAATACCGACACAGTGTGTCCAGAGCTGCTGCAGGGCGCCATTTTTAAATAGAATTACAAAACAAAATCTGATATATACACACATCTGGTAATTGTTTTGGAGTTAGATGGCTTAGAAGTGCCTGGCCCTTGGCTGGCATAAACAGAGCAGAAAATGTAAAGGCAGCAAACAAAAAAAAAACACTTTGCGTTCCGAAATGACGGGAAGCCGCAGACAGGGGCGCAAAAAAGCAGGACGAACCAAGAAAAACTTCCAAAAGCAGTCTGCGGATGCAGGATTTTAGACGTTGGCTTTGGCCGGCTGGTGATGGAGTCAGGACAGATAGCTGTGCCGCGAACTGTTGCATTAAAGGATGAAAGTGAGCTGTCAGCGGACATTACATGTAACATGCAACACAAATGTTCACCCTCTGTACACCGACACCCCCCCTCTGTCCAAAAACATGCACGTTAGGTTAATTAGTGTGTCTAAATTGTCTGTGTTTGTGGTCCTGTGACGGACCGCTGACCCGTTTTTTCCAGAACAGGCTTCAAGCTTGGGTGCCTGTTCTCATCTCCGTAGAATAAAACATCAGTTTTTTCCCCCAAAAGCAGCCGAAACGTGGACTCATCTGACCACAGGACACGTGTGGGCCGTCTCTCTGAGCCCGGAGAACTCTGCCGGGCTTCTGCAGCGGGGTGATGTATGGTTTCCTCCTCGCGTGGCGTTTTCTGGATGCAGAGGTGGGCCGCGTTGAGCGAAAATGGTTTTCCAAGGTCCTCCCGAGCCCAGGTGGCCGTATTGATCATGATGGCATGACTGTTTATCATATAGCGTCGCCTCAGGGCCCAAAGGTCATCCAACAGTGGTTTCTGTCCTTGGCCTTTACACACTGATATTTCCCCAGACTCCCACAGTACTCTGCTCTGTAGATGTTTAAAGACGAAGGGTCTTTGTTGTCTTGCATTGAAAAGTA